TTAGGACCTAATTCAGTCGATTGCATTAACCAGCTGTGTACTTCTCAGGAATTCAGCAACTGATCCAGCACTTACTTTCAAATTAAGGAAGGATTTTAACACTCTTGCTTTAAGGTGCTAATGCTGAATATGCAATACATAAGATAATGGCACCATTATACAAACACAAACAGAATGCAAGGGCCAGGGAGTAGCAATACTAGGCCTTGGAGTGTATCTTGAACCTGCCCAACATCTTCTATGCTCTTACTGCAAAGTGTTCCTTTAGAGAACGGAGCAAGACTGTTCTTTTGAAGCAATGAGAGAACACAAGTAGTACCTTCTTTTCTGCAACACTTACTCAAGAGAAATTGTCTAGGAAATAAAAAACTGGTTTAATATACTTCTTTTAAACACATGGGATTCAAGCCTTTACCTCTACTCTTAGGTCAATCTCCATACCACCAAGCTCACAAAATACAACACACGAGACAGCATGCAAATAAACAGAGGACTACAATCCATGCTCCTTTTCCTCAATCACATGAAAAATAGGCTATTCCCCTTGTCTTCTCATCCTCGCTCCCAAACATTTTCAGATTCACTAGGAAGTATCTGAGCTTAGCCAAGTAGGGTGGAAAATCTTATAAGTGAAGGCTTTTGGACTGCATCAACAGGAAAGTCTGAGCAGATTTTTTTTTAACAACTTTTTAAATCAAATTCTCTTCTCATTAAGACATTCTGACACCAGTATATATAACAGATTGGTTAACACACTTATTTAAGCCATCTAAGGTTTTATTATAATCTCCCAGTACGTTAAAATCGAAGTACAGTGGCATCATATTTTTGTGATAAATGCATGTACACAGCAGCATAAAATCTCTGCAAAGAGGAAGAGGAAAAGGAAACAAGTATCCTGAGCATAGTTTTCCAGATCTTTAATCTCCCTTTTCTCCTCCCCTTCTCTACTTCTGTGGGAGCAAGACTAGGTTTGATTTCTCCTGAAAAAAAAAGAAGAAAGATACATTGCACCAGAACAACTAGAACTTTGTTTCTCTGCATTAGGGAAGCACAGCTCAACACAAAGACTAGCAGCTGCCCTGAAGAAGCATACCCATTACGTCCCTGAGGAAGTGAGGCACTGTCTTACTGTTATTGCACATTTTTACGCTACAATAAAACATGCTCTAACTTGAGTTCTAACTTGTCTGTTTATGGTATTCTCTAGATTTTTTAAATGATGAAATACATGACATTTTTTAAATGACGGAATACTTTTGTCAGTCACTAAAGAAAAGACGTACTGGAGAAGATACATTCTCAGCAGTAAAGGGTCTCTGTAATAAAAGTGTTTGATAGAAAAACCGCAAGTGTAACCACTGATGAGAGTGGCTGCATTGACTGGAATAAAAAAAAGGATCCCAGGATAAGGTTACAGTGAAATTCATTCACTGGATCACTCATGGGCAAGCTAGGGCAGCAAGTAAGTTGGAGCCCGGAGTGCACAAAGTACTACAAGATGTCATCAACGTTGTTAATTTTATAAAAAACAAGACCTTTCAATACTCTTTACAACACTTTGTAAAGAGATGGCGAGTGACCATGAAGTCTTTTGTACCACAGAGGTTCACTGGTTATCTGGTGGCAAAGTACTTAAAAGAGCTGTCAAAGTTGAGTACACAATTTTCTTTCATAGAAAAGACAAGCAAGTGTTCCAAATCCGCTGACCTTTTCTGTGATGAAAAGGGCCTGTCAGTACTATGGCACCTAGGCCGATAGTTTAGAAAAATAAAACCATTTAATCTGTCTCTTCAAGGTAAAAGTGACATTTTAACAATGCATGAGAAAGTAACTGCTTTTCTAAAGAAACTCATTGTGTGGAGAGAGCATTCTGAAATCACAAGTTTAGGAATGTTTCTATCATGTGATTTTGTTATGAAAAGCAGTGCAAAAGTGTCACCTATAAAAACTCTCATACTTGCTCACTTGAACTTGGAAACAATTTTTTAACCTGTTTAAAAACCTTCCAAACGAAGAGGTTTAGTGTGTTCTCAATCCTTTTGTTAAACACAAAAAATTCAAGACCTTCCAGTTAGCTTGCAAGAACAGCTGACTGACGTCTGGGAAGATGGAAACTTGATAGCTGAATTTTAACGAACACCTTTGCATAACTGGTGGATGGGATTGAAACATGAGCATCACGATTTAGTCAGCACATGAAGCAACATACTTCCATGTATCTTTGTGAGGCACCTTTTTCAGCAATGATAACCATTAAAACCAAGTATCAAAATAAACTGAGCTTGGAATTAGGCCTTTGAATCTCTGTATCACAGTGTTAAACCAAGATTTTCAAAGATAAAAGCACATTCTACAGCATCACTTGAGAGTCACTAATTTTCTAGTGAAAGCAAAAAAGTATTTCGTACCACTAAAAAATATTTTACACTAACTTAATGTCTCATCTTTTTTCATTTTAAAAATTTTGTATAATGAACTTTATTAGTACAGCAGTACTTGTATATAATTTTTAAATAGATACAGCATGCTCAAAATATTTTTTGCATCTACCTCTTGGGTTTCCCAGCACAGGAAGGACATGGACCTGTTACAGCAGGTCAAGGAGGGCCATGAAAACTATCAGAGGTCTGGAACACCTCTCCTGTAAAGATGGGCTGAGAGGCTTGGGGTTGTTCAGCCTGCAGGAGAGCAGGCCCCAGGGAGACCCCTTCAATATATAAAGAAGGCTTATAATACAGAGAGACACATTCTACCAGGGCCTGTAGTGACAGGACAAGGGGCAACAGTTTTAAACTGAAAAGTTTAAAGTTTAGATTGGGCATAAGGAAGACATTTTTTATGATGAGAGCAGTGAGACACCGGCACAGGTTTCCCAGAGAAGCTATGGCTGCTGCCTCCTTGGAAGTGTTCAAGGCCAGGCTGGATGGGGCTTGGAGCAATTTGGTGTAGTGGAAGGTGTCCCTGCTCCATGATCTTTAAAGGTCCCTTCTAACCCAAATCTTTCTGTGATTCTGAGATTCTACTGTAAAAATCTAAATTTGATCCATTGCTGGAATACTATTAGCAGTAATAAATTTGCCACCTGTTGCTTTTAACACTAACATACTGTATGATCTCTTAATTTCTGTATCAAGTTTAAGACATTCTACACTGGGATCATGCAAAACCCACTTGAACGCAGTCTGGCCTGCAACAAAACAAAAAAAATATCCAGCATAAAAGCCCAGGCTTGAATTTAAAGTAAAAGAAAAACCTAAGCCTCATCAGAAAAAGCATCTTAATTCTGTAGTACTGTTCAGATCAGCAACACCTTTT